TCAAATTCTATCAACGGTAACATAGCGGAAAAAAGATGGAGAAAACCTTTCGCAATAAATCGAACACGCTTAAATGACTAGCAAAGGATTCAATGGTTGCCGTAGAAAGTTATCATCTTGTTCAAAAAGTCCAAGAGCTAATTCACTTGCTTCCTTATTCACTTGTTTCCTTATTACGATTTACTCGATCGATATAATCTTATATATGTATATAGAGTTATCTTTTAGTCTATTTTTTCTTCTTACCTTATTCTATCGACGAAAACCCCGCCGGACGTAGACCCCTGACAAAAAACGATGGCCGTACGTGCAGCAATTCAGCGAAATATTATATTTCTTCCTTCATTCGCTCTTTATATTGCGTTGCTAGCACTGTTATCATGGTGCGTTTTGATTGGCTGCTAAAATCTTGGTATGACAGCTAGAATTCTTGGAAGTTGCAGGGGATCGCGCGCGCGGGTCATCATTGCAACGATATTTACTGCGCGCTTCACGCGGGTTTTTATCTTTTGCTTATTTGATTAATTAGCCGCGCAATGTAGTTAAAAATCARTAATATTTCATCGATGACGTCTTAGCTTCAAACTAATTCCTTCGACCGGATTTTTTTGGGAACTCAGAATAGCGTCTGGTTTCTTTTAACCTTGCTTGTTCCACCAATTTTCTTTCGAGGAATCAAAAGAAATATTTATTGATTTTATGTTTTCTTCAAACAACCACAAAACCGCATGCAGTGGCCCGTTCTGGTTAGTTGGTTCGATATTATTTTCGGACATCAGAATTGACATTACTTTTCAATTATTTTGAGCAAAATGAAAAATGAAAACGGAGAAAATAATAGATTGCAACTTAGCTGACGGTTTAAAATTTGGGCGTATAGAACTATACCCACGAACTGAAATTGAAACTATACAGATTGCACCATAATTTTTGCGTCCTGGRGGATAGTATTGCTTATGTCACATGAATATTATCGTTTCAGCATCATGAGTCAAGCATTTTTTCTTGCTAAGTARGTAAGATAGATCTTAGGCATATTTTTATCAATAACAACTAAGGAAGAGACAGAATTCATAATTTGTTTTAAATGTTCAGGAACTGCATAGCGCCTTTGTATTCAGTAAAATCGATTGGGTAGCGTAATTTAATCGAAAT